ATATAGTATTGTATCATTAATATTAATTGTTTTTTTTTAGACCGATACACACCCTCACCAACCACTCCCTCGACAACAACTTTCTCTATCAAAGCATCAGCTATCTCATTAACTTCAACTAGTTTACTTATCATCTGGTCTACGGGAACGTACGATGTTAGAAATATCAAAGAATGTTTAGTAAAATATAAAAAGTCAAACACTAATAATGATCCAGTTGTTAAACAGACTATCGATCTACAGCTTAACATGTTCACACTAGCAACACTTACTCCTGAAACAAAATACGACATCACCATCACATGTGAGAACACCCAGGGCATAAAGTCAACGGACACAATGGAAATGGTTTCTACTATGAAAAGTGACACAATTGAAGGTAATTTGAATGATGAAATACGCTTCCAATTTTTTGTGCAGTTTATAATCAAAAACTTTAAAAGTGCAAATGGGAATATGTCGGTAATCGGATGCATTTCTTTTCAATTAGAATACATTATGCATCACATGGGCGATACATAACTGGCTGTATTTTTATTATTATTATTATTATTATTATTATTATTATTATTATTATTATTATTGTTGTTGTTGTTATTACCACAAATTCGACAAAATTTCCAAGAGGAAGCCGTGGGCAGAGGGCCTGAGAGGGCCCAACACAAAAGCTGGAATCCCTTGACAAGAAATATAATATAATACAATATAATATGTAGAATGAGTAGGGTACACCGTGGTGAAAATTCTATTTATAATACATTTAAAAGCTGGCGCCACCACTGCCAACCGATCACAACGATTGCCACGCCGCACGCGCGTTTTCTGATAACCCACTGAAAGTTTGTGTCTATTCTTGAACATCAATTTTTCTCGGTCTGTATTCTATGGCTAATTAGTCCAATTAACTAAATGGTGTAGTTGCACTCTTAAGAAGTACGTGAAAAGGTAGAGGTATGATTTTTTTAAGTTTGTGTTTCTTCGTTATGTCGATGACGATACCTTCAGTTGATTAAAATATTGGTATGGAATAATTATTGTCGTTCTCTAAAAAATGTTGCAAGTCAATTTTGACGTCATTACTGTAATTTCTGATGTCAATATCCCATCCTCGTAAAAATGACGAGCGTCTTCTGATAACCCACTGCCATTTTGTGTCTATTCGTAAAGATGAAAAATCCATTTTCGGTTTTAATCGCTATGGCTAATTATTAGTCTAATTAACTAAGTGTAGTTGCACTCTTAACAAGTATTTGAAAAAGGTAGAGTTCGATATACATAATCAAAAACCCAAAGAAAAAAGAAATAAAATATGATTGTTTATGTTTGTATTTCCTCGTAGTGTCGGTGACGATAAAAAAAAAAAAAAAAAGCAAGTTTATTGTGACGTCATTACAGTAACTCCTAATGTCCATTTCCCACTCCAACAATTGAAAAATTGAAAAAAAATATGATTTTTGTTTAAAGTTTGTGTCTCTTCGTGGTGTTGGTGACGATATCTCAAGTTGATTAATATCGGTAATGGGATAAGTATTATCGTTCTCTAAAGGCTAGCTCAGCGTCGTACGACGCAGCCCGATACGATTTGTTGTAGCGTCGTGTCTGTGTCAGTTAAACTCTAACGCGAGGCCTGCGTTCAACAGCGATTGCGTCGAGAACATCAAACGTGTTTAAAATTTCTCAAGATGGCTTAAAACTGTTCTCCGACGATTGTGACGTCATTACTATAACTCCCAGTGTCAATTTCACATCCCACACCGCACAAGCTTCAAAGTACAGTACTCGATTTGCGTGCGAAATGTAGGATGTATCGCGGACCGAGATGAATATTCTGGGCTAGTGTTTTTTACAGCACTACGAAGCGCCCTTTCAGATAGAGGGGTCAGGCATTCGCAATTAGTATAGTGCTTACCTATACAGTATAGGAAATTATTATACTTTGATTACATTACTGCATTTCATCTAACCTTCTCATGATTTCCACTAGTATGAATATACTATAGCTTATTATAAAGCCCGGGTGGTGTACTATGAGAAAACGCATAGGAACCATAGCAATGTGTATCACACAACAAGTTATACAGTTAATAATTTCTAATAATCTGCGAAACTAATTATTATTTTTAGGCAACGACAACAACTTACCAAACACGGGTAAAAGAACTAACAATGATACGGATAACTCATCGTCTTCTGTTGGCCTGGCCATTGGGCTTACACTTGTTGCGTTGCTGCTCGTGATTGTTGTGGCTGTGGTGGTATTGAAACTGAGACAAAAACGGTAAATATATGTATTTCCTTCATAATCTGACAAAAGCAATTAAAATACCATTGTTATGTTTTTTTTTTTCAATTCTGTATTTTACTCTATATCTCCTAACTTATTTATTAGTTCAGGAATTTGTAATTCAGTAGTAATATTTACACATTTCAAACAAGTCCAAAATCAACAGAAATACTAATTACATATACGGCATGAACTTTGGTATTCATTTACAAACCATATTTATTATGTATACATTGTGTCTGTGGTAAGTGACGTAGCGAATGGTACTTCATTCGTTTGGATTAATTCAAAATATAAAAGTTTTGTATTGTCTTGTAGAAATTAAAATTAATAGTATGTACTATAATTTAAACAATCAATCAGTCAGTCAGGAAATCAATCAATTAATCAATATTCCAATCATTCAACAACCCGACACAATACCAATCAATCGATCTATAACCATATTCAAATCTATCAACTGATATTAAAAAGATAATGGGTGGATCATGATTACCGTATAGAACCTGTTGTTAACTACTGTCTTTATATTTTTTTTTCAGTCCTGTAAAGAAATCTGTTGATGAGAATGGCGACCCACTGGATATTTTTGCTTCTTCAAACTAAAGATCATATTTTGATAATTAAGTAAAACGTTAATTAAAAACAAACCACATCACCAAGAATCTAAAGCTTATTTTATCAAACCCCGCTGTAACAATACTGTTTGATTTGTAACATAGGATGCTGAGAGCCAGCACGCTGCCATAGGGTAGTAGTCTAGTTAAATCATATCTTAAAATGTTAAAGATACATCAAGGCTATTTAACTTATTTAAATAATTGTGTTTGCACTTGTACAGCGCACATTTGTTCATTGTTTACAAATAAAATTGATGAGATATATGCGTAATCAGTAAGCTCATTCGTAGTTTAAATTGCGCATGTACGTATACATGGTCAATTGACATCAACCTATGTTGTGTGTATGTGTTAATGTCGATTGAGCTGGATACAGGCATGCGCAGTTCAAACGACGAATTGGCTTATTACACTCCCAGGAGTTTATAGATGTTCACACGTGACACTCATGTTAAAACAGGGATAAAGCGTGTTAGCTGTAATCATGTTAACTTAGGAGTATAGAGCTAGTGTGAACACAACAATTATGTTCAGTTGACGCTGTAAATTTTAAAATTTAACAAACACCATCACGAGGCTATTTTTTAGTTCTCTTTAATAAATTATAGACAACATACTTTATATATAATCTTACCCTGCTGTACGTGGACACTTTATTGGGGTATCGTAAAATTCAATAAGACGTTTCGTAGTTATAACTGAGCATGTGTATGTCGATAGTCAATGCATATATAAGAACATCGTACGGTGTATGTGAACAGTATTTAAAAAAAAAATCGGACGTATTATTATCTATAAATTTACCTTCCAACAGGCATGCGCTGTTGGAACTAGGCTTACTGTTATATATTTACAAAATAAGAGTGATAAGTCCGAATTATCAACTGATACTGTACGTCCATGCGTCGTGCAAACACATAGTAAATCTACGTTCTTCTACCAACGACGCCTTTACGTGGGCTACTAAATATATTTTGGTTACGTAATTTATTATCAGGACAAAATAATAACCTAGCTAACAATCTTATATTTTACTAAGGTTACAATAACGTTACAGTTACAGTACCCAACCACAACATTTATAAAGTTTGCAAACGTTTAACGAATAACGTTTTATTTGCTTGAATTATTAACAGTGCTGTCTATAATTTGATTGATTTTACTGCACTGTACATAGTTTACAAACCTAAACAAAGTACGAGTGAAAACACAATTAGTAATAATTATAAGATACGGCTACGCCAACCGCAGATACACAGATAAATACGAGATTAAACGCGACATGAATTTATACATGTTTTAGATTGAGAGAAAGTTTATTGTTCATTATAGCTTTAAATGAACTGTTTTCAAATTGCAGTATATATAATGAGATAATATACAGAAGAAATATACTATAGATCAGACGGTAATTTAAAACAAGTGAAATAAGTAAGCTGTGTTTATCGTACTTAAATTTAGAATGATGTAAATATACAAGAGCGAGCTTTGAGAAACAAGAAAAAACATTGTCTCGTTCAATGGACCTTTTCGGTAAGCAACGCCCCATGGGGTAGCTAAGGTCCAATTAAAAGACAGTGTTAAAACATACGCAAGCAGTGTGTTTGTGAGGAAAATATGACACGCACGTATTCTTTGCCCTGTTCTAATTGGCCAGTTGTGAGTTTGAGACTCCGGAAAGATGCACTTTGAGCCCCATTTTGTTGCATCACCAGCAATGAACTTAAATAGCAGAAGAATGAGTTGCTATCTTCTGCTATTTATTATCTTTGATCCAGTCATTTACTAACAAAAAAAAGAATCATTTTACCTTGCAATTAAAACAGGGGTGGCGCCAGCGGGAGGACCAGGGTCCTCCGTCGGGGAGAGCTGTCTACATATTAGTAGACTCTTAAAATCGATTAAATAAACCTTTGAAACCCCTAATTTGTCGAAATTTTCGGGGGCTTCGTTCCAGGAACACTTTCGGACCCTTTTAATCGAAGCTCGACAACGCACACTTTGCTTTTGTCGGGGAAAGCTGACACCTCGTCGGAGGCGCCCCCCCCCCCCTCCCCGTAGGGCAAATCCTGGCGCCACCCCTGAATTTAAAGAATGTTTATACATAACCACAACTTGAAACACTGCGTTTATTAGATATTATGTATTAAATGGAATTTCAGAAAAAAAAAATATAAGGTACGTGTTTGTTAGCATTTTTAGTATACGATTTCGAAAAAACTCTGGCTAAGACTGACTAGTAGTATTTGTACGTCAACATAATTGTCCTTAGGCATTGTCCATAATGAAATACATATCAGATGTACAGAGAATGGTAAATTCATATCAACTTACAATGAGTAACGGCGCCATATTTAAGTACATATTTTTCTCTCTCTCTCTCTCTCTCCCACTTTTATTTCATCAAAATACGATAATACATTAGGCCTACATATTAAACAATGATATAGCAAGTTTTATCATTTTCCATATGAGTTTAGTAACATACTTAACTTACTAAAATTTTTCTTTCAATTTTATTTTTCGTTAAGACTTTTTTAAATTTCTTTAATTTTAATCTTCCTTTATCGTCTTTCTCTACGACCAACACTTCAAATTCGCCATAAATTCTATAGATCTATTAAATACTGATATTTACATAAAAAATAATAAATAAATAATGCTTTCCGTACTCCAGTGTCTTAGTTTGCTTTACATCTCATGGTTAAAAGTTGCTTATCTTCTCGTGCGTTATACTCTTTATGTTACGTTAATTTTTTGTATTTTTTTATATTTTAATAAAAGTACCATAATTAAATTATCATTTACAAGATTTACAAAAACAAAAAGTTTCCATTTTTTATATATATACAGTATATATATATATACAGTATATATATATATATATATATATATATATATATAT